ATTAGTAACTGATGCATCCGAGAGATGCGAACGGATCGCACGATAAGATTGAACTGAAGGAGAGCTAAAGTCTCCGCGTGCACGTTCTCGACGCCAATCGACGCGAAACATACCAACTAAACGCTAAATGTTTTATCGCGTCTCGCATCATCTTGCTTGGTCTTCTCTACGAGTCCTTTGCAAACTCACACTCTCGCATTTTACTGGTAATGCTTTCTTTGTTATTGCAACCATTTTCTAGCTAGATTTAGTTGAAATATTATTCAACCGTTTAAAAAGTAAATAAATTCCAACGAAATCCACTGTTGCGAGAGAACTCGAGATGTGACACGATTAAATGACGGAGGAAACGAAGCACCTCTCGTACTGGAAGTGCATCGTTTAAAGTAGGAATCGCGTTGACGCTTAAAGCCACGAGAAACGTTCCTCGAGAAAACGGTACGACTTGTATAACAGGGACAAAACTTTGTCGAGCCTTGTATGGCTTACGTAACTACATATTATATTATGCGAGGCATTGCATCGGCGTTGTCTCGATCCATGTCCTTTGCAACTAACAATAAGGTAAAAACGGTTCGCGTGTCTAATTCGATACTTTGGTCGGTGATCGTCAACTGTCGCGTATATCCGATATCGTAATCGTCTAATCGATTAATAATTACTACGTAGTTTACTGTTTGCAATGCAAGCATCCGGGCAGCACCTGTGGAAAGCAGATACACGTTCAGCAGCGTTTATATGGTTGCCTACTCTTAGGCGCGTGTCTGACTAACACTGTCGGTAATCACTACTCAGACAGTGCTAAACCAGACGCTTCTACTTTGCGATGAAGCGGCGCGGCGATAGAGACGAGTAGTATAACGTGCGTAGGTGTACTTGTGTACGTGTATAGTAACATTAAAATATAATCTTTCGTTTATTCCAGCGATCGAAAGTATCAGAGAAACTTTCCGATAGATTCCCTTGAAACAGTTCAAAAAATAACATTATAAATTATAAACGGATACGCAGGGGTAAAAGTTAGTTGAAACCAATAATAATTAAAAATTATCACATTATTCCTCTTATACGATATATCGATACGGAAATAAGTTTCGATAAGACATGCGTTATGCGACCAAGAATAGCAGGCGCTTGACCGAGATTAGGAATTTTCGAGGCGATCGAACAGTGACAACGAAGGACGGTATTTTGTTCGTACGCGCGGCATGTCATTCATTAATTGACTTGGATAAACACTCGTGTTTTAATTGCGTCCGGTATTTGCAATCTCATTTTTTAGTTTCCTCTTTTTGTTTCCTTCATAAGAATCGATACTGGTTCTCTAATGAGAAAACGGGATCATTGCCTTGTACCACTTTCGCGAGAAAAATTAATATAGAAATATGAAGATATTAAGAAACTCGGAGTGGAACGAAATCGTTGTAACGTTTCGTCATCCGATAACCCACTTTCCGCTTTTAACGAATCTTTTCAACCATTCGCAGATATTTCTTTCGTTTGTATTATCTCTTACTGAACACTCATACGTTGTTCAATTGTTTGGATAAAAACTTCAAGCCTCTATAATGTTATCGTGTTTTTAAAACTTTCAAATTTTTTAATCGGTTCCGTATGCAAGCATTACCTACATCAAGTATGAAACTTTGGTACAAGCAAATTTGATCATATGAATTTTTCTAAGAGGCTAAACTTTTTGGCGAAAAATCTTGTGTTTCGATGTGCCTGAGTACGAACAACTTGTGACTCATTATTCGTATCGCGACGTTCGCAAACGTTTCCTCTCGTTAAAAGCATAGATTTAATGTGCACGGTTCATCACGCAAAATAACAAACGGTCTAATTGGTAGCGAAATCAGTGCCCGATAAGAGTGGTGGATGCGTGAAAAATTGGTCGCTGCGCCGATAGAATGTCGCAGTTTTACGATGCCAACCGATTCCAGTAATCTCCAAGCTCGTATCAGCCATTGCGCGCGTGTTCGTGTTTGTATTCGTATTCGTATTCGTATTCGTGTTGAGTAATTGTAAACACGTCCTCATAAAAATTAAAGGATTATTATAAAAACAAAATACTAATTTTACTCAACACTACTCGTTACGTTCGAAGAACGTAACGGTTGTGTATGAAAAGTGCACGTTGATTAGATAAAAGTTTATTTATCATTATCAAAGGTTTAAATAAAAGTTTACTCTGAGACAAACTGCTGCATGAAAAGAAGAATTCTGAATTCTAATTCGATTTTTTAAGTGGAAAAACTCGCGAAAGATAATATCCATCGCGTCATTTTCCTCTTAAAAATGCAAGACGTTGGAGGATTAAGCGTCGTCTCACTTGCTTAATATTTATGGAACACGTTCTATGCCAGGTTTACATAGGTCCGACGAACAAACGTTGCATAACTTAACGTCGTGTGGTGTGGTGTGGTGTGGTGTGGTGTAGGCGGCTCGCGTCTCGGTGAGCATAATAATTTATATCGTGTAATATATCGTACGCGGATAATATACATGTAGAGATATAAACGATACCGGTCATCGCTAAATGTTGTACCATTGACGCATCTTATCGGATCGGTATTCCAAGCATCGCGTTTAATTACCTTCATCGATTTGGTTGCTGCATAATTATATATGTAGACAAAATTGATAAAATTGAAAAATCTCGTTTGACATTGCTTTGATTCTTCCATATGAAAACACGACGTGACAATGCAAGGAAAAAAAAAGGTGAGGCGATGCGAAATTTTGTTGCGAGGAGAATAATTAGTTGTCTGGAGGAACATATACTCGAGGTGAATAAAGTTTCTAACACGTTTCAGAACAACGAGACAATTGTTTTAACAGATTTTGTTATCTCACCGATGCTATGATATAACTTTCGACCGATGAAACCTTTAGCGTGGCGATTAGCTAATTATCAAAATACCGATAAGAAAACCACGGATTGCATATTTTATGAGATATTGGTATCGCGTTTATGGAAAGAGAAATTTTTCCGAAAAAATGTAGAATTCCGAAAAGATGAGGAATCAAATCACGTTCTATTGTACAGCGATCGGAAAATGGGAACAACTATACACTTGGTTACGTAAGGTGTCTGCTTGATCGTTATTCCCTGTACATCGAATTGAATCATGTTTCCACAAAATGAAATTAAGATTCGTTCGCTTCCTTGTTCGCGCTATCGCTACTGTAAACACTCGCGTTGGATCTACTCCGTGCGTTCCTCTTGACAGTACCGCAAGATGTTTCCATTCTTCACAACACAATAATGACTTACTATACTATTCGCTGCCAATAAAATTGGCTTTACGAAGGCTTAAGTCACGATATTCTGGATAGGATCCTGTTTGCTCGAAATAGTATCACGCTCCGAGCACGAACCGTGCAATCGACAGCGTTGTCGTTGCCGTCATTCTGTCACCCGTGCAACGGCCATTTATTGCACGTAATTTTTCGGTAACAAAGTCTGTCCTGATAAAAATTTATACAATAAGTCGATAGGAAAAGCGCTCGTCGAGCGATTTTGCGAAACACGATGCCTTTAATCCGTATTGTTTCGAACGAAACAGTTTCGTGCGAGCAAAAGATCCGCATCGGTAAACCAACGATTATATTGTTTGTACACGCGCTAAAACGACTTCTGACGGTATCGTTACGATCATCTTTCCTCGAAGGACATACCTAAATATCGATAAAATTATCGCATCTATAGTCGGATAGTTACTTCGAGTGTCTCGTCGGCGTCGTTTCTCAGAATCTGTGATAAATTTCAATGTACACAGACTGAGAATAATTTCTTTACTAAAACATTGGTACACGTTGGTACACCTTCCAAACGAGAATATCATAATAGTATGGAATTCGATTATACGTGCAATTTATATGTACACCTGTTGCTCCAAGAAGCCAATCAACCTAGTAATCGAGATATCGATCGATCGTTCTCAAAGGGCTCGCGAGAATTACAACGAATAATAACGAAGAAGAAGAAGATTTTCTGAAAAATCGATAAATAAATATGATAGTCGGACTGATGATTAAAGAGACGATACCAGGAAAAATATGAAAGTCAGAAGGCTAGCCCAACACTTTGGAAAATAAAAAGGTAGAGGTAGAGGTGGCGCGCGCGCCCGCGCGCGTGTTATCGCAATCTTCCTAATCTCCGCGGTTGGTTTCGAAGCGTCGCGTCGGGCAACTCGCGCAGAAGCAATGAGCTGTCCGCGTCCGCGGTCGGACGATGTGCGCGAGACAAGCCTGCTATCAGTCGAAGGACGTAGGTGGTACGAGCTGCGACGAATCCATCGGATTTAGTTATTGTCCAGCGCTCCGTGGACTCGGATGTCGAAAACCGACTCGATCGTACCATGACCGAGGATCTAGTAGACAGTTGAACGAGCACCATCCCTCCGGTTCCCCGTTTTACGTCCATCGACGTGCTCCGCTCCATCGGAGACCTGTTAACCCGTTACCACTGATCGATACAACCTATGAAACACAGAAAGAGAGAAACCGCGCAAGGAAACTACCACCACCACCACCGACAACAACAACAACAACAACAACAACATCTTTTACAAAAGATTACGTTGCTCGAGTTTTCCCATACGGAAGACTCTTGGACAACATTTCCGAGTTTATTCCACGGTTTAGAGATCATTTGCGTGTCCTTCGAGTAGAATCGATACGTCAGGGTGAAGGTCGTCGTGTCTTTTACACGTGGATCTTGACCAAGCGTCTAGTTACTCGTCAAAGATAACTAAGAAACTCACTTTCCACATAGTTGTCGACAAAGTGGTTCAATTTTGCTACAAACAGTTACCATTTGACGTTGAATAAGAAAACATTCGCACGTGGATCGGGTCGGCAACGACGACGTCAACTCGCCGAAACAAGAGAGTTTCTATTGGCGCGTGGCTGAATAATAAACAGCCAGGTTGTTTCCATCACGCAACCGGCGTGAATCTGTCGCGAAAACCACGTGGATATAGCTGAGCTCCGTTTTGCGTGGCGCCTCGAATCTTTGGAGAACGTATAGATCTCGATTGGCGAACGATTCGAACGCTTAGGTATGATATAGAGGAAGTATATCGTTCATCGGTGAGTCTTGTTTTCCAGGTAAGTCTTGGCTTCTCCTTTAATGCAAACTAATTATTTTACGTTCTGTTAGACTTGGATGACGTTGTACGATCTGTTCTTTCGTAACCAGTTTTTCCGCTTAAGGTAATCGAATCTTAAGAATGAAGGAAACATTGTTCAATTCGTCGCGACGTTTTCGATTTAATTCAACAGCGATAAAAGAATAAATATTGCATTTCATACAGAATCGATAGAAACGAGAAAAGATAATGTTACGAAATTATTATAAGCAATTTTTACTTTGTACCGATTACACCTTCTGGTTGTCAGATATTTTTATTTTTTTAACCGAAAATGCTGAATGGTAACCTTGAAAGCAATTTGCATGATTCGTAGAAAAGTGTAACGCAACGGTTAACGCGAGAATTTTGGAACAAGTCAAACGTAAAAACTAATATTTAATCAACCAATGAAAGCGGCGATACCCGCTAAATTTAACTCTTAAACGCACAGAGTATCGAAACAATTTCAAATCGATTTAAATCGATAATAAACCATGCTAATTGGTCAGACGTCGAGTCATAAACATCGGTGTGATAATTCTTATCCAAACCTTTGCCCAAATTGTAATACACGATTTGTCTCCGTACGAATCATCGATACATTTCGTTCATAAAATGGCTTCGCTTTTCGTTCAATTCTCGTATCGATTCGTTCGCGAACCTATAAATAAACAAAAAGTCTTTTCTTTTAATCGTTTCCGAACGAATAAAATCAAATTCACGATTCATTTTGATCGCAAATATAGAATGTAGAAAGATACTCGAGTAGACCTTTACGCCTTTAACGCATTGTCCACGTTTCTCGAGAATGCCAACATTCTGTCTCTAGCATTGTTTCAAAGAAGCACCGAGTGAAAAGTCTGGCGTCGCTAATTGGTACTTTAAACTAGGCGAAATGATTAAGATTACCTTGAAAAAACCCTCGAGAACACACCGCAGCGGTCGCCGTCCTAATCGAACATTTGCTTTCTTTCGTTTTTTTTTCTTCTATTTCGTTTCTTTTCAGGCAGCCATCGCGGCTGACAAAATTCGAATAAAGCGTTTAGAAATCAGAAAGAGAAACTAGAAGAAGAATAAGAAGAAAACGTCGAATGTGTCGCGGAAGTGGCTTACCCTAATCGTTTCGATATTAGCTAGATTATTTCGCTGAGATTATGGACCAAGGGCAAAACACCAAAACGATGAAAAATTCCGCAGACTATGTTAAGGCCATCGAAAGTGGGGTTCAACCGATTCAGGTGAACAAAAGCATCTCGATTCTGTCAGACATAGTAGCAAAATATTTGTCCAAATCAAAAATTTTGAATAACGATATCGATATCGATTCATATTAACGAGAATTTGATTATCATCTGAAAGTTATTATCATGGCTATACCATGTAACTAGATTTGGGAAAAGTTAGGCTCGAAGGAATTGTATTCGAGCGGAGAGAAGAAGGTAGATTCGGGAGCAGTAAGAGAGGATTCCCATCCTAGTAAATTTCGATTAAATTAAACCCATTTGTTATATATTACAGATGGTCGAGACGAAAGTTTACAAACGACGATGGCTAATTCTAATGATCTTCGTGGTATACAGTGCCAGCAACGCTATGCAATGGATCCAATACAGTATCATCGCAAATATAGTGTCCAAGTTTTATAACGTGTCCAGCTTTGCAGTGGACATGACCAGCATGATATTTATGATAACCTACATTCCATTCATTTTTCCAGCGAGTTATCTCCTCGACAAATACGTAAGTATAGCATTACGTTTACTCTGTTATTTTCAGTCCACTGTCGATAATTATAAAATTTCAAACGATTCGTATCCGCGAGTACCTAGCCTACCTATTTACTTATTTATCGACAATCTCGTAAACTTTGCCATGAATATCGCGAATTAATTATTGTACAATAACTCTATCGTGCGTTTAATCTAATCTGATTAAGCATTTGATTACACATCGAGACGTATAAAAATGTATACGTTTCGCTGCGTTAGAAAGTGTTTGATAAGGGACGAAGCAAGAAGAGCAAGCAATATAAACTGTATCGAAGGGTAAACAGATTATATTTCAAAAAAACATTTGTCGGATTTTATTCGAGGGATTTTTCACACCACTATCAAGTTCGCGAATCGGTTGATACAATACTTGAATTAATCCGAGTTGGAGCGAAACTTTCGTCGTTTCGAAATGTTCGTATATCCAAGAACACTTGAAACTTGAATTGAAAGCGAGTTTGCTTGTTTTGTATACTGGATTAATGGATCGAGCAGACGTTGCGAGTTTGTTTGGTCTGTAGATTGATGGATCGAGCGGACGTTGCTAGTTTACGGACTTGAGATGATATCATTTCACGGAGAAAGATTCGAATAGTTTACGAAACTCTTGGTTAAGTTTAATCGTTGTTTAATCACTGTGCGTTTTTCATTCATAACGGCTAGAAATTAGAAACATTTCGTTATACAGTGTAGCTACCTTGTACAAGTATTATGCAACATCATTTTATCCAGACAATGATGGAGTTGAGTTTGTACTGTTTCAAAAATGACAAATGCGATCGAATGTTAATTTGTTTTCAGGGTCTAAGATGCGCTGCGCTTACAGGAGCGATCGGGACGACGCTAGGATCGTGGATCAAAGCTTTCAGCGTAAGCCCAGATCTATTTTGGCTGACTTTTATCGGGCAGACAATTGTCGCCGTGAGCCAGACTTTTATACTGTCGGTTCCAGCACGTTTAGCGGCTGTTTGGTTTGGTCCGGATCAGGTCAGCAGCGCGTGCAGCATCGGCGTTTTTGGAAATCAGGTCGGTAATTAACTGCTCGTTGGAAGCTTTTTAACGAGCATTTTTAAAAGGATTTCCTCGATTACGCTATGTGTTTTCAATTTTAAAGCGGAAATACTACATGTTTGGGAAACATTGGACTGTTTAGTTTGGGCGTAATCTCTAATCTGATTCTGTTCCGTGCACGACGCCGACGCAGACGTCCCCGTTGATCGCGTTAAACGGTCACGGTTTAGAGTGGAACTCGAGTGCGTACTACTTACCTGCCGGCTACAATTCTAATTCGATGGACAGGGTCGTTCGCGAGTTAAGCCGTTACGTGATTAGGTGGGAACCCGGACCGAACCGTGCACCCACGTTTCATTTCGCAACAGGGATAGGGAGATCAGATCGGATCTCATCGAGCGAATTAAACGACCATATTTCACAGTTGCCATCATTACGGTACACCCCGTTGCGTTAGCCCCACTAACTTGCACGTGGTGCCTACCCCGATCAACATTTCTTTTTCTGTTGCCTTTTTACTAATTATTCCACATTTTTCCTCTTAAATTGATCATATTTTCCACTTTGTACGATCCGACTTTTATTAATGATATTACATATATAATATTTATAGAATACCTATAGCCAGATGTCAAAGTTAGGCATTAATACGATCTATTCTATGTATCGTATTTCGCATAGCAATATTCATACTGAAAGCACAGAATGGATTGCCGAGGTTTTGGATCACATCGGCGCGGCGCGGCGCGGCGCGGCGCGGCATATCGGTCGTGTCATAGAACTTTGCCATGCTTCGAGGGCGGCGGAACTCTCGTCGAAATCGCTCGTGATGGGCTGAAAAGAATAATGATCTCTTACTTCCTTCGCATAACAATAATGGTTACCGCGTATCTCTCTGGCCTAACAGTAATTTCAAGCAAAATCTTTCGATGCTGATCTCTAGGTCAGCTGACCGTATCTCGAAACTACAGCTGTGTACATTGTTCACTTTTGAAAATATTTCCAAGCAAAACTAGCGAAATTCAGAGTCTAGTTTCAAACAAGAAAACTTGTTGTTCGCGCCACTCTTTTCGTTATTTATTTGTTTCTTTTCATAGTAAACATTAAATTGAAGTATCGTCGTTGTCCACAGTTGGGCATAGCCATCGGTTTTCTCTTCCCACCGATGTTGGTGCCGAATAACGAAGATATCACCTTCATCGGACGTGGCATGCAAGTTATGTTCTACATTGTGGCCGCTTTTACTACCATCATTCTGTGCCTAATCATTTTCTGTACGTGCAACCATTTGAATTGAACAAAAATCGTTATCGGTAAAATCAATGAAAAGCGTGCCGGGTGACGTAATAATTTCGGTATACTTAACAAAGTTGCGTTTCAGTTTTCAAATCCGAGCCACCGTTGCCACCAAGTCCAGCTCAAGCCGTGCAAAGAGAGTCAGAAATCACGGAAAGTTTCTTACAATCGGTGAAGAAATTGGTCACCAACGTCGGTTACTTGTTGCTCTTGCTGAGTTACGGCATCAACGTCGGTATTTTTTACGCCATCAGTACACTCTTGAACACCATTGTCCTCCAATATTTTCCGGTTAGTATGCGCGAATTACGCAATGATTCATTAATCCGAATAACTAATCGATATACCGTGATGTATATTTGAATCGCTGGTTTCGCAGCACCACGAGAAAGACGCTGGTAGAATCGGTTTGACCATAGTTTGCGCTGGAATGTTGGGTTCCGTTGTATGCGGTATCGTGCTCGATAAAACGCACAGATTCAAGTAAGCTTTACTCGTACGATCTGTTTCTTAAATTAGACAAACTCTTGAAAAACCGTTTTCTCCAGTTCAACTTTCTAGCATATTTCTTTTTTATGCAGAGAAACGACACTTGGAGTCTACCTTCTTTCGTTTGTTGGCATGATCATCTTTACGTTCACTCTGAATACCACTCAAATATACGTTATTTACGTAACAGCTGGTATATTGGGGTAAGTATAAGGCATCGTTCTCCTAACAAAAACACTCTTCGATCGCAAACTCATCGAGTTGATAAACTTTAGCTTAGCTTGATAAATCGATTGTGTGATTTCTGGCCAACTCGAACTGTATGTATACTAAAGCAATGTATTGGCTTTACTCAGTTTTTTCATGACTGGCTACTTGCCAGTGGGTTTCGAGTTCGCGGCCGAACTGACGTACCCAGAACCGGAAGGTACGTCTGCTGGCCTGTTGAATGCGGTCTGTCAGGTATTCGGGATCGCCTTCACGATCGCCTACGGCTACTTCCTTCATCTATGGGGTGATTTCTGGGCGAACATCGCTCTCTGCGTCACCCTGGCCTTCGGTGGGTTCCTCACGACCATCATTCCGAACGATCTTCGAAGACAGAATGCCAAATTTTAGAGGAAACCATCGTGTTCCGTATCTCGTATCCGAGGATCGACGTAAAAAAAAAAGAAAAAAAAAAAACGTATCGCATACACGTTTTTCGAATAGACATTCCGAGTCGAAAAGTCAACATATCAAAGGAACAACAAGTTCGATTCCTAACGAATTGTTAAACGTCTCAAAAAAATTCGAGACAAGATAGTATACCCGTAATATTAGGAAACCCAAGAGAACTGAAAGTAAGCAGGATGAACCTAAAGCGCGAAGGGAACACTCGGAATAGGCGTAAATTAGTCTTTCGTAAGTTTTAGGAGGAACAAGAAACAGTGATATAGAAGATAATAATACAATATTTATAGCCTAGAAATAGTTCCGAAGAGATTTCGAGAGTCTGTGCCCCAACTTATTCGTATTATAAATACATTTCAAACAGAAAATTAGAATAAATCGTTGAGTCAGTCTTTGGTAAACTAAAGTGTAAACTGATGCTCGAAGAGTAGAAAACATAGTTGTTGGTAAACCATCGTGCTTCCCTAAACTCGTATCAGAGTTAGAAATGTATGCGTCTATCAAGTGGATTCATAGTTTATATTGTATACGATAGAATATCGTTGAAACGTTACAACGATGACTTGTAGTTACAACACACATGACTATACACAGCAGAATTCCGAACAAAATTGAACAATGTTTATCGCAGACAATTATCGAAAATAATACCGGATGTAAAAGGCTATAAGAGTATGTGGTTGTAAGTAAGAAAGTTACATTGTTAACTGCATACATTGTTTGTTGCAACGTATTGTTACGATTTAATCTACTCAACAAGTTATTAATCTCTATATATTTGGATATAAAAAAATGTTGTAATATTTTTTACTTGCCTAGCTACGTTAATAGAAGGACTGGGCTATTTTTATGGACCATATTTTCCCGAATAATTTTCGATAATTCGATGACCCAGAAACGCCTAAAGTATGCGAACACTTCCTTCGCTGGCACAGAAATTTAATTATCGAGTCTCGACTAATAAACTCGTTGATTAAACTTGAAGCCACGGAAAATGCGATTATCGTGTTACGAGTACACCATGGCCAATTTAGAAATGTCGATCGAATGCGAAATTTTGATTATTAATCTTCGAGAACGAGGCAAAGTATTTTCTGAGCGGCTGATAATTCGCGCAAGCTTTACTTTTAGATCGCGGATAACGATTGCATCGATAAGACAGGACAATATTCCTATGTTTCGTGTACGAGTCTAGCGTTAGGAATGTGCACAAATCTACCACTTGTGATTGTTGTAAATTATAATGCGCGTTATTTCTAGTAACGAGTCTCGTAACGGGCTAGTAACGGGCTCGATCACGAAAATAAAGTATATTCCAAGACCACCGAGAAAACTATTATAAACGTGATTTTATATTCTTCTATTTCGACGACGATAATCATTAAGGTTTCCAGAAAAAATGTTACTAAACTTAGTTAGATGATTAATTGTTACGAATCGAGAAAGAGTTGAACAATTTAAATGTTTACGTATAGATATGTGTATACATATATTGTATTTTCTGAGAATCGATCGATATATCATATCATGTGCGATACATGTATATGTACATACTTGTATACAACAGAAAACTATATTCTTGGCAACTGACAGTTGGACAATGGAAACAGAGGTACAATTGTAACAAGTTCAAACGTTAAGATAGCGATAGTTATCATATTTTGATGTAACATAAAGATGATATATCTAACGTTATGTATTGATCCGAGTCAAATTTTTACATTGTAAAATAATCTTCGGGAAATGGAACGTTTCATCGTTGTTCGTTCGAGATAGTTTTCTACCAGCGAAGAAATTTTGGTAGAAAATGATATTTTTATGACAAAAGTATTAATTTGTAGAAAGTTTCTCTCGAGATAAAATTCCAGAAGACATAAACAAAAATCGCAGATTACACTGTGATCTCGTTTAATTAATTTTGCTGTATCAGCAATGTATTTAGTTGTACAATTTTCGTGAAGAATGCACAATAGAATTCGATTTTTACTGTATTCTTTCTTTCTTTTTTTTTTTATAACGATCGATCGGGACATTCCTTCTTTTTCTTCAAATTCTGTATACATGAAAGGAAAGAATAAAGTAAAAATTGAAGTGGAACAATTTTTCCTACCAGTCCATTGGTCTTCCGCTCTTTTCAATTGTATATTTTTCAACATTTTTATCATGTACGTTGCTCCTCGTCTTTGTAAATAAATTGTTGAAGCTATGAATGGCTATTCATTTTAATACTCGAACTGTTTAAAGCTATATAGTTATTTAATAAATGTTTAAACAATGTCGGGAGGAGCTACTCTTTCAATGTTTGTATAATTAATTCAAATTGAAGACCTTTTTCGCGCGCTTTTTTCATTCGACTTCATAGCCATCTATCGGTGAATATACCGAACTATTTTTCGGAGTTTGGTCAGCGCCTCTATCGGGAGAACGCCCAAGTTTGTCCTCGATTAGTTCCGCTTTTCACCGCTAGATGGCAGTATTTACAGCATTTTTTACCGACCTGTCGGTATATTACCATACCACGTCGTCGGTAAAAAGAAACAACATGGCAGAAGACAAACTTGGGCGTTTTCCCACCGATGTCGCCACTAGTACCAGACCCACTGAACTATACATGCATGCGATAGTTGAGTGAATTTCCCTCGCGCGGAACGAATTTGATTGAAATTTGTTCGAATAGTGTATTTGAAATTCAAGGTGTAAAGAAGTAAAAACGTTTCAAATTACCAATGTCTTATTAATGATTTTAGATCGGGATTTTTGTGAAATTTCTTATTTCCATAATCAGAGCAATTTGAAAAGATGTTAGTGAAAGTAGTTGTATTACGTTTTCCCTCCTTTTTAGCGAGACATCAATTTTAAGACAATACTACAGAAAGTAAATGAATTTAATCGGCGACCTTTGGTTCTTGTAATATATCGTATATATATTGCATTTGTTAATATTTTAATCTTTGCTTCATTTCATGTAAGAAATTTGCAATATTATTGTCTAACCTCTACGCTATTGTAACACGCTTGCAATCATTGACGGAAGTTTGTTTTATACGATAATATTCAATTAAACATTAAGAATGTTCGAAGCACATTGCATTAATGCTGAGCATAAAGATTTGATTCACGATATCGCGTACGATTTTTACGGACAACGAATGGCAACATGCTCCAGTGATCAATTTGTAAAGGTTAAAAGTTTATATTCGTTACTTGTACAGTTGTATTATTAGAATTTGTTGTTATAGTCATTTGTGAAAATGGTCGAATTCACTTAGGTCTGGGACGAAGATGAATATGGTAATTGGCATTTAACTGCATCTTGGAAAGCTCACAGTGGTTCTGTTTGGAAAGTTACTTGGGCCCATCCAGAATTTGGTCAAGTTCTCGCGACATGTTCTTTCGACAGAACGGCAGCCGTGTGGGAGGAGATAGGTAAAATTGTAATTGATCGTTAAATTTCATCTCTGCTATAGTTACGAAATAATTTTGCATTGCGTTAACAGTCGGAGAAGGATCTGGTCCTAGCGAAAGTGGCATGAGACATTGGGTTAGGCGAACAAATTTAGTGGACTCTCGAAAGTCTGTTACAGACGTGAAATTTGCACCTAAAACGTTAGGTCTCTTGTTAGCAACTTGTAGCGAAGATGGAGTAATTAGAATATACGAAGCTCCCGATGTTATGAACTTGAGTCAATGGACTTTGCAACACGATATTAGTTGCAAGCTTCAATGTAGTTGTCTCTCGTGGAATCCATCTCTTTCAAGGTAAGGAAATAACAAAGTCCTTTCAACTGTTGTACAGTGGAAGGTTTGCGAGTTGGGTGTAAGGAGATATCGGATCATTTTGAAAAATATCGTTTTCAAAGTATATTTGATTTATGTTTTGGAATTATTTAACGTTTCGTTATCTATTGTGCGTATTAGGTTACATCCCCCCATGTTAGCAGTTGCAAGCGACGATCCGAATGGAGGCAAAGTCTTTATTTACGAATATTCGGAAAGTAGTAGAAGATGGGCAAAAACAGAAACATTGTCAATCGAGGAACCTGTTCATGATATTGCATTTGCTCCAAATTTAGGCAGAAGTTTCCATACGTTAGCTATGGCAACAAAAGATGTACGAATAATTACGTTGAAACCTATACCGTAAGTATAAGCCCGAATTTCGTAGATTTATACGAATATTGATTAAATAAGAAACTACATAATATTATCGATATAGGGATAGCATACAAAGCGGTTCGTCACGTTTTGAAACTGCAGAAGTAAAGTTTACTGATCATGACTCTACCGTTTGGCGCGTATGTTGGAATATAATGGGAACTATTTTAGCAAGTTCAGGGGATGACGGGTGTGTGCGATTATGGAAAGATAATTATATTAATAATTGGAAGTGTGTTGCCGTTTTGAAAGGTGATGGCACTTCTGCTCAAAGTGCTGAAATTCCTACAGCAGCAACACCACCCAATCAATCTGCAGGAACACAGCAAACACCTTCTACGACAAGGTACTACAAATTAGGTTCCATTAGTCATCCAAATCAAGTGCCTTGGCATTAGAAAAAATGATTTTGTTTTTTTATCATAATTAATGGCTTCGCGCTCTATGTTATTTCATAGGATTGTGTATTTTTCATACGGAAACTATTGGGTTTATATTTGTACAATAAAGACATTGATTATTCTTATTTTCTAACAAAAATATGCTTTAATTTCTGGTAGTATTAAGCCGATTCACATGAATTGTAAGTTTTGTGAATTTTAGGTACGCTAATCGATTACTTAGTATATTTTCGCTAAGCATTAGATTAATTGTAAATATTGATTTATTACATACGTACACTCGAATACATTGCTCGATACATATTTTGATAATTACTTTACAGAAAATATTTCTCAGTCAGTTTGTAATGTGGTTTCTAATTAATAAATGCTGTATTTATATTATAATGCACTTTTTTTTACTCTTTTCCTACCCAAAAAATGCCGAGTAAGTAACTATTCCGTAACTAGTATTGTACAAATAATTTGTATTTCGCTTTCAGAATTGCAGCTATAACAACGGTCGCTGCAGAAAAGCCTACAGTTGCAGTTATGTGCATCAATAAATGGCAAGCTCCTGTTACAAAGGGTCGCTTCAGTAAATCTGTATGGCTTGGAAATCCTAGCGATGCAACTCCACCGCCGCCACCCATTTTAGAATGTTCCAAGGCAAAAAAGTAGCTACAATTAACGCACGTATAAGTTTTAAAGGTTTCTATTGAATTTTGTAATACAAATGCAAGTAACTTTTGTAGCTTTATGTTTGCGAATTGTAGGAATTTAATTCTAAACATGTTGGTACTGTTTTTTTTTTGTTTATCCCGTTTAACAGTATTATTTTGATTATACATAGACATACTATTAGATTTCGTATAGAAAATCTACCAAGGACTAAAAAAACTCCTCGAATACGTACTTATCGTTGTTACACCCGGGCAATGTATATAGCAATAATAAGTGCAGTCATTGTAATTACACATTTACGCAGTCAGTATAAGCACAGTATTAGTATTTTGTATATACGCACATACTACTACATGTATGTAAAACTTATTTGTACACTTGTAATTTTAAATTCTTCTATGTAATTTTACGTATATTTATTTGTTCTTTTTACCGTTGTAGATATATTTGTATTTCATTTAAATAAAATATGCATTTAATAATAAGGAAGTATGATTATATGGTTTATTTATATGATACTAGCTTACTTTTTAAACTTTCTTTTTAAATTATCACAGTTTCTCTAGTGGGTTCCCGGTATTTTCGCCCAAATGGATAGCCATCTAGCGATGAAAACACCGAACTATTTTTCGGAGTTTGGTCAGCGCCTCTATCGGGAGAACGCCCAAGTTTGTCGACGAATAGTACGTATTTTTACTGTTAGATGGCGCCATTTAACGTATTTTTACCGACATTATGGTAATGTACCGACAGGTCGGTAAAAAATACTGTAAATAGCGCCATCTAGCGGTGGCAAGGGAAACTAATCGAGGAGAAACTTGAGCGTTTTCCCGATAGAGGCGCTGACCAAACTCCGAAAAATAGTTCGGCATGTTCACCGCTAGATGGCGACACCATTTCCCGCGGGAAATTTGAATTCCTTTTATAACGTATACCGTATATTCGATATATATTAAACAATGTGTCATATAATAATAATAGTAATATTAAAATAATCTGTTGATTAAATCATTGGTAATTGGAAAATAGTAATTTAATCGTAGCTAAGCGATTAACGGAGTAAGCATCCGGCGAACATTCGGTGGCTGACTTCGACAATGACTCGTTGGTGGTTTGATCGTTTCGTTTGTTGAATCTGTAACGTTGCAGAAGTTTGATCGATGGAAACAGTTTCTACATGTCAGATTGTTTCGTGAAAGTATTCTGAAATTATGTGATATTTTTGTATCGTCTGTGGAAAATTGGAACCTTTTTCTGCGCACGTCATACATGATGAAACGTGTGTTTGAACCTGCCAGGAGGAGTTTACTGGATGTGATTAGGAAAAATCTTCGCACAGCTGACAGGGTAAGTAAACAGTAAGTTCTATAAGCCATAAAGAAAGAGCAGATCTAATAACAGTTAATTTATATGCAAAGGTTACGTATATAACGCGTATCGTATATATAGGAGAATACGTTGGTTCGCATATCGACTTGGAAAAGGTACGAATGATAGGTGTAATTGAAAGAAATTAAAATTTTGCTCAAGTAGGAATTAGTGTAAGAACGTGACAAGTGTGAAGTATGAAATACGTGAAAGTAGCGTAATATCGGTAGGTTAATCGTAACGAATGTAATTTACAGAAAATGGAATCTGTGATTAACGATTTAAAAGCAGATTACGTGAACATTTCCATAAGTGGGTTGTTGCTAGTATATCCGCAATACTACGTGCACGTGTTAGAGGTGCGCGAATGTAATGTTACGATTGAAAACTTTAATTTATATATAAACATATCGCTGCCCAGTCAAAACCATTAGCAATTTATGTTAATATTAGGCGTCGGAAGAAATTGTTTATAAACATTTGGATGGCTTGTATAGCAATCAACACGGGGATTGCAAACTCAAAAAGGCAATTTTTCTTCCATCACATCACCATGTCCATCAAGTAAGCACTGCTACAGTAAAAATAAAACTAAATAGTAAAAGCAAAAGAAGAAATA